TCACTTTATCTTTTCAAGTGATTTGTTTTGCATCTCTAAATGTATGCATTCTGAAAAGAGCAAACACATCTCCCCCCAGCTCATACACGCTAACACACTCCAATGCACCTCTCTCCCTACTTCTCTCTCTTCCTCTTTTTCTCCCTCTCTCTCGCTGGCGCCAGTCCAGTGTGCCCAGTTAAAAATGTCTATTGAGTGCTACTCCCTCTCTAAATAGTGGGGAGCCTTTCCTTCGCTTTATTTACACAAACAGAGTCCTGCTCCGTTTCTTTGACAAAAGCAGCTAAATCTTTTTGCTCTTTCATGTTTTGTTCGCGCTCGATCCTTTTTTCCTCTGGCTATTTGCCTGGCCGGGAACAATGAGGCAGGAACAATAGGAGCAGATTGCTGGAATGCGCTGCACTAAACCTAATTATGACATGTTGGCTGCGTTTGCCATGGTAGGTCTCAAAGATCCAGGCCTATTCAATTAGCCTTTCCAGGATTCCCTTTCAAAAATAAAGTTATCCCTTTGACTGTTTGTATTTCAGAGAAGTATGTTTTTGTGTCTGGCATAAATGGAAATCTGCGAGCCTGGACCCCACCCCTTCAGTAACTGCAGCGCATTTGAATTAACTAAATGAGGTTAAAAAGATAAGCAGTAAAATGCAGAGGAGGGGAGGCTGGTGGGGGGCATGTGTACTTTATAAATCATTAACGCTATTTTTGGTAGTTAACGCAATGTTAATTTTGGTTTGGGAACGGCATTCAGACAATGCTAATGGAAAAGCAGGACCGAGGCCAGCATGAGATTTCAGCCTGAGACTTTCGCTGAACATCCAGCCCCTCGCCCGTGAGACGGAGGCTCCCACAGGCGCAGTAAACGCATCAGTTCCCCAAATGCCGCAGTTTAACGGCAAATAAACGCCGCCGCTCGGCTTTTTGCAAGTTACGGAGTCGGTAAACACTAAACCCAGAGCCCCCTTCCCCGATTTGATCTTTCCATTGCGCGGATCTTTATTTACATCTCAAATTTCATACCATCTTATGCATGGAGAGTGTTAGTGCAAAGCGGTCGCCAGTGAGCGGAGGGAAGCCCCCAGGACCTGAGCACCGTTTTTCCCAGACAAATAAATCTAAATGAGGTGCCTTTGATCTCGGCACTTAAGGGGATTCCACAATAGATTTTTAACGACAAGGGGCAGAGCTACTGGCCCTACTTCGCACAACAATGGCTCTCACTACCAACTACTTAATCAATATTTGGCCAGCGGTCCTGCACACGATCTTTTCAGATTTTAATTCAGAGCCGTAAAAAGTGGTGGGCAGGAGACGTCATGGCTACTGGATAAATAATAAATAACGCCATAAAAGTGATCGACTTTTACGTAAAATATGCGTGATTATAGCGACACTTTGGTTTTACTAGTCTTTATTTTAATATAATCGAGTAACTATAATCCGGTAACCATACCGAATTAACCATGTAACAAGTAGTGCACAGAAAAATCTGTTATGGACTTCTAATACACGATACACGTCCAAAAACTGAAAATTATTTCACTTATAGTCTTTTACATGACATTCTCGCAAAAAGTCTGCCTAACCAAGAACCTTAAAAACGGTGAGGTAGCCTGTTGACAACCTATTTAATCGGGACACTTTTATTTTAAATCTATATACTTTTTTCAGGAATCAACAAGTGGCACGAATCGCTTCCCTCTTCAACGTGTCGATGCTTCACGGTCCATGTGTTCCTCTTATACGCGCATTATGGTTATATTTCACAAGGTTGAGCTTTGGGCAACAGAAAATTCAAATAAATTTTAAAAGTTTAACTTTCCTGCTAAACTTATACGCATCCTAAATTTTAAAGCAATATTAACGATAACGGATTCGACTTTCATTGTAATATATTATTTATTTGTGTGGGATTCCTTACATAAACTAATTTGGTGAAAAGCATCACACTTTGTATGTGTCTTACAGATCATGCCACGTGTCAATAGCCCTCATTTCCGCCCTCAGTCGTTTCCACAGATGATTATCAACTTGACAGTTCTGTTCAATGCATGTAAAACAGTGTCATCTCTCCATACACCTCGTCACCACTGTCGCCAACAAGCTCCTAATGGAGTATTTGCATGTAAATATTGCCCCGCAATGTCGCGTGCCCGCGCATACTCATCGAGTGCATTTAATTCCATTATAGCATGGAAAAGTTTAAGAGAACAAACAGAAGCAGAAAAAGACGCCAAGTGTTTTAAGAGCTCGCCGAGACACTGACTTGCTTTTTGTTCGTTGTGGCGCTCCTTAAAGAAAAAAAAAATGGGTACAGATATTAAACGAATGTGCGCCGCAGGCAGGAGAGGGAAAAGGGCGGGTTTGGTCCCGAGATGAAAGTGAGAAGAAATAAAAGGCTCGATTTAATCCGCTTGAAGAGATTTTCAGTGCGAGGGGTGTGCGTGATGGCTGAATATTGTAACAGTGCGCATGACAAGGCCCAGGCCATTGTGACTGCGGCTCGGGGCCAGCGCGAATCTCGGGGGAAAACATTGGTGTCTATTCACAGACGTCGTCTTTAATACACTCTCCCAATCATTAAATGTCACATAGCTCAACATCTGAAACATTTAGAAGACCCAATTAATGTTAAAGAGGGCCAGAGGAGGGTATTATAGAATTAATACAGATTATCCTAACAAGAACAAGTTTTTAGCTTATTAACTCATATTGCATGCATAACTTCAGAACGTCACGTCGACGTTTTTTTTACACTATAGGCCTACGTGTTATTCATTAGTAATTACTATTAAAAAGAGCTCAAACACAAGCAAATAACTAACCCAATAGGCCCTTCAAGTTAAAAAGTGTTTATATGTCGTTTAGTCAAATTACAAGAATTTCCCAAATTGTCCAAATAATAGGGAATTTGAAGGCATAAACGACTAAACGATTAAAAGGTAAATTGATTGAAATATAAAACGAAGGACATGCAAACCAATGCAACTTATTAAAATCTCGGGTAATTTTACGTTGATATTGCAAAAACATTTTATACAGACTTCTCGTTTTGTTTATATATTTGTTTATTTCTAGCAAAACTTTAATTGCATAATTTTCAATAAAGCGGATCCAGTGTTTTCTTTGTCGTGTTTCCTACACAGCCGGTTAACTGCGCCCAGATAACAAAATGCGAGTTGCTTTCGTTAGTTTGTCACATGCAAATGTGCTGCGACTCCATTAAATCGGCCTTATAACAACGTGCAACAGGTGAACACGTGTGGGAAAAAAGCTTCCAGTCTATCGAAAGTTAGCCCAGATATTCTAGTTCCTACAAAAAATAAAGCAAGAAGCGAGAGAGAGAGGGAGAGAGAGAGAGCGTGGATTCAATTGTAATTTCAAATGCAAGTCGGCATCTTTAGACGATCTAAAAGACTCCAAAAGAAACATTTTGTAGGTGAAAACGGCCATTTTTCCACGCTGCACAGCATATGAAACCGCTAGAGGCTGCAGCTATTGGCGACCGCTGAATAATTCATCCCTCATTGCAAGCTCATAATGTCTTTTCTCAGCCTTTTGTTATAGCTCTTTCTCGTCTTTTCTTGCTGAATTATAAAAAGGTCGCCTTCCTTTGTCCCGGCCAGGCTGCTGCTAGGCACGCCTTTGTTCGCATGGAGCCGAAGTGTGAGTTTCAATGGACTCACGCGCCTTTGTCTCCCAAGTTCATCCCCAAGTGTCTGATTGTGTTGGCAAAGACTGTCTTTGTATAGGATGGAACAGTTGAACAAATGTTTGATCAACTCATTTGGAACTTTTGTCTCCACCTTTCTGTACTTTCCATCTCTTCGATTGTTTTGCAGAAATATTGCTACAGTAAACAATTAACTTTAAGATCTAAGAACGACAAATAGTGTCTGGAGCAGTCGCTACTCATCAACGTGATTCTCGTTCTCAACTTTACGTTTTCTACATGGTTAACATAGTTCTATCCTTTTTATCACCACTCTGCATGTCGTATTAATACATTAAAATACATTATAATTAAACTATTTTATTTATGGATAGTGTTTTAAATTGTACTCATACTACATTATTAAGTCTGACTCCAAATTATTATTAATTTTAAGAAGGCAATAATTACATTCAATAGAGATAAAGCCTGGAGCTTATTTAGATGTTCAAATACTGGTCGAGTTGAATATTTTTAAAAAAATATTTCTTCCGTGATTTAAAAGCAGTATCAAATATAGATATGCCTAGAAGAAACACGTTAAGTTACAAGATCGTCGATTTTTAAAAAATTCCATACATGTTTGTAATAGCCTCGTGACTTACATAAAAAGTCACCCAGACCAAAGACCATTTTATAACTACTTTGTATCCCCATCCATTCAGAGATTCTGCAGCGGGCTCCTTGCTTTACTGCATCAGGATAACCTGTTTATGGCTTGTCTCCACACACAGAGGTTTATTCACGTATCCGCAACTTTGAAGAATCCCCCGCGCACCCCCCTCCTTCCCACCCCCTCTCCAAAGCTATCACCTGCTGTTTGAATTACTGTAGCACCTCATGGGAAAACCATTACCTCGAGATAAGACCGACAAAGAATTCAAAACAAAGCGAAACAGGCCTACTAACTTTCGGCACACTTTCTTAACACTTAATACCCCCGGTACAAACTACATCGAAATAAACAGTGAATAATGTAGATACGTATCATATTACACCATTATTACTATAACTGAAACATTGCGCAGAAAGTTAGCAAATATATAAACCAATAAATAAACTATTCAAAAATGACACAGTGGACTAGTTTGGCACATTGAATTACAATCTATCGGAACACTTGGTAGCCATGCTGACTGGAAATAGTCATCTAATTGAATACAACTAATATCGATATATGAGTTTGCAGATAGTGCAGACTGTGTACTTCGTTACATTGGAATCACAGTTACCATTAGAGTATGGCGGCATATACTGCGCGCTATTTCGTACGTTAGGCTCAACTTACATCTGTCGCCAAGAATGCCGTCAATACTGTGTTTAGCCCTTCGCTCGTTATCTTCCAGCTCTTTTTTCTCCACCTCTTCTTCGTCGTCCTCATCTTCCCCCTTTCCTCCGAATTTACTTCGCATTATGCGACTGATCGAGCTCACTTGAATGAAAAAATAACGGAAAACAACAGGCAAACGGAAACAATTAGAAACAATCAGAGTAACACCAAGAGGCAATAAACAACCTCAAGACAAAACCAAGATAATGAAGACACAAAAATGTTAACTCCAAAATTTTGGAGATTACTTCAAAACTTGTTGATTGTGTTTTATCGTTACATCTTCAATCGTAACATACTGTAATGAAACGTAATTCTAGAGTTTTAAAGTAGGTTCCTATTTAAAATGTGGAGACCCCAAAGCTGTGAATCAATCAACGAAATAAAAACCAAAAGTAAAAAAAAAATAGGCAAGTAATCAAACAAAGTAATTGCATTGAGTTTTCCGGATGAATTAACACCTGTTGATGTTAATACCTCAGAGCAAAAAATATTATGTAAAATATATAGCGCTATATTTTTTCTTCTGTAAAACGACACTGTGTAGTGCGTACACTTGGGTGTAAATTTGTATTAGTTTTTGTTTCCATAATTTAAAAAATTAGGCCAATATTCCGAACTATATCACATAAAAGACACAAAAGCGGGATGTTTTAACTCTTAAACCTAAGCAAATTACTGTTATAAAGATACAAGAATAAATGGAATACATTTGTGGCAAATTATTCAACAGACGTTATAAAAAAATCAAAATATTCTATATAGCTCGTGGCCGAATTCACAATAATAATAATAATAATAACAACAACAACAACAACAACAACAACAACAATAATAATTGAAATGACACACATGACTGTAATTTGAAGGTAATCTTATGGAAAATGTATATTTTTTCAGGCCATACCTGAGGGGACGGTATTGCGGTCACAGATCCCGTCTTTCAGTAATTTATCCCGGATTTCCCAGCTAAACATTCCAGGGTTGTCTCTCTTGTACTCTTCAATTTTCTTTTCCACGTCAGGCGTGGCCACCTGCTTTAAATGTTAAGATGATTCAAAAATTAGACCATTTAACTTGCAGTAACAACGAAATAAAACCATTATTTAAAGTCCACTTCATTCATTTTTATGAATTAGTTTCATCTACAGTAAAATGAACTCACGATCTTTTTTTTAACTTGTTGCTGTAATGAATTGGAAAGAAACTCAAACTGAGACCATCTGAGATCAGAAAATCAAAAACATTCGGACGAAAAAAAGACGCTGAAGAAAAGCAGGCACCTAATTTTTAACTGCAGCGTTTTAATGTTCCGTATAATCATCAACTCAAACAGCTTTTTGCATAAGCCCTGATTTAATTTTGCCGTAGAATAAAATGGGTTCCGCGCGCTCACCTTGGGTTTGCTTCCCCCGATGGCCCCAGGCCGGATGGAGCCCGTCTCCTGGTACCTGCACAGGATTTTGGACACGCAGCCGTGGGAGACCCGCAGCTGACGGGAGATGACGCAAGGCCGAATGCCGTGGTGAGCCATCTCTACGATCTTGTGTCGGATGTGGTTGGGCAGAGGTCGGCCGTTTATAAAAACTCCGCCGAGTTGGTTTACTCTGCCCTGACCTAACGGGGTAGAGACTGCATAATACAAAACAACAGCTATAACAATAATACAATAATACACCTCCATCCGTTTCCACAACCTGTTATCGCGTCAACCCTTGAGTCTGTCCCGTGAACACTGCATGTGAACACTGCATGCGCACAATGCAGTGTACATAGCGCACGGAATAATAATAATAATAATAATAATAATAATAATAATAATAATAACAAGCAAACTGGTTGTAATTGATAAACTAACAACTTGGGATATATTTAGGGGTAGTTGCATAACAAGGTGCTTGAGTATAATTTAAATATTTAATTTAGAGGTTTAACAGAAGTTTTCAATAATTTTGGTGCGGAGTGGGAAGTATCAGTTAATTTGTAATCAGTCGTTTAAGATGCAATCAAACGCTTTAATTTACCAAAAATGTATTGATTTGTATTTATTCAATTCACATGTTCATTCAGGAATAGAATTTAAATGTTTTCAAAAAAGTTTAACTGACTATAGAAGTATAAACAGTAATAAAATGGTAATAAAGTAAAATAATGAATTTGCGCACTTTAAAACATTTGTATGGGCAGAAAAGAATCTCAAAAATGTAAACATTTGTTGACGCACCGTTATCTCACTGACTAAACTTTGGCAAATGAACAGCACATGTTAAGTCAGCTCCGATCGCCATAAAAAGGAAAAGTGAGTCATCGAAAAACAAAACACGTATTTATTTAAAAAAAAAACATAGGCGACAGAAATTTCATACTTGTTCGACGTCAATAACCACTAAGAAACCATCACTTCACTTTTTGACGACGAGGTTATGAACGGTATTCACGTACACAGCACTTTAGTGACCATATGAACATTTTTTAAATGTGACTTTCATGCTCTTTATCATTCTATATAAGTGTATTTTACCTTCTAGAGGGAAGCCGCTGCGTTGGTAATTTTGGGCCAGCGTGGGGCGCATCATCCTGGGAACAGCCCCCGCTAAAGCTGTCATTTCTCCACTCTCGAAACACACCGATGAGTTTTCTTACTAGTGCACGTCGAGGGCAAAAAACAGATGCAAAGTTGCAAGAGTGAGAAAAAGAATGAAAGAGCTGCCCTGTATTCCAGTTTTCGGACGTTTGGCTTCGGTGTAGAAATAAGGTACTTCCTTGTCCTGGCAAATGATGTAATATCCCCCCTTTCTACGACAAAAAATGCAAAGTTCAACAAAGTTACTGGGAGCTATTTTTTAAAGGACGAGTGCAATAGTGGCCTCCAAGCCAGTCGCGTAAAATGCGTCGGACCAGTGAAAGTTGAGTTGGTGAAACTTGTGTCGTTATTGTTGTTGACACACTTGAAATGAGTGAAGCGATGGGCTATAGTGGAACATTTATTACTTGCTTCACCCCTTTCTCCATCACTTCATCGGTTACTGTGATTGGCTCACGGAAGGAATGTCCCGGTTCCCGAAAGTGCGCTATGATTGGCCAGGAGTAGAAACTTCTTTCCTTGTGACTTGGTTTGGAGTCGGGGACGCCGTGTCTAAGTGTGTAGTGAGGTACACAGCAGTGATTATTGCCTTGTCTTTCAGTCGTAATTGATAATGGTTTGGTAAACGCTGGCAATGAATTCGCGCGATCTGTGTGTCAAATGCGTGTGTATCCGTCAAATTTTCTTCATCGCCTTTTTTTTTTGCAAACCTTTGCAGGTGTTAGAAACCATTAAAAATCAACATTTAATCACATCAGCGATGGTAGTTTTGTAACAAATCGGCTATCTTAGTCTAAGCTGTGCTTCTGAAATTGATAGCGTGGTCACGCGGAGTTCAGATTTGTGGACACCGTAACACAGTAAGTAAAATGCGAACTACTAAATTGTGTTGATTAGGAATTATTGCCCCCAATTCGCCAACCCGAACTTCCTCTCGGCAGACAAAATATCCCGAACGTTTGTCTATCCCAAAGAATTTATTGTGGGACTTTTGTATTTAGATTGCAGTGTGCCAATTAAAATAAAAGAAGCTCAGTGTCTTACTGCGGGTCGTACCGCCGCAGCAGGGAACGACGCCACAAGTGCAGTAAATGCCGTCTACCGAGAGGTGCAATTGTGAAGGGTTTTTATTTGTCACTTAGGTCCTGACTCCGAACAATTGCAGTGGCATCGGCTCTTAACTTGGACTTAACGAATTTTCCCACCCGTCTGTAACATTATTTTTTGTCATGAATCTCGTGTAAATGGCGAGTTCGTGAGTCTTTAGGGAGGTGCATAATTTGTCAAATTCAGGGGAAACGTGACGGCATTAAAGGAATTGCTAGTGCAAAAAAAAAAACTGAAAAAACCCATCCTCTTTCTCTCTTCCTCCCTCTCTCATCTTTAAAGTTGGGCTGAAATGTCCATTGAAGAGGTTCCGTCAGTCATGCAGCCTTGGTCATTCAGCACAACCAATCAATCAAAGGGATAGGGGATCATTCCCGTATAGGCCTTTCAGGGTAAACAAAACAAAGACTGTCTTTCCTCTGAATTCCACCAAAAGGTTTGTCTCCAGTCCCAGATATGTACCGCAGCCCTCCGCATTCTTCCAAGGGCCTAATGCAATTCTCCAGTCGCGTCATTCACCGTTATAGATCACGAAGTGTCACTTTTGATGACACATTGAACTTTTTCGAAGCATTCTTTCTTTTTGTTTATTTCTCTCACCTTATTTTCCCAGCGTGGACGTTAAGGTTACTTGAGGATTTCGGAGGAAATAAGTTTTTCAAAAATCTTAGGCATTTAAGTAATTGACACAACTTGAAAGAAACTATGAAATGCGGGGCTTCTGGGAGCGTCGCTCAGTGGTTCATGGTGGAAGTATACTAAGCCGTCATTGGAGTGACAGTCTATTGAGAGAGCAGATACGTTTTATTTCTGTGTATGTATAGGAATACTAATTGCTACTTAACAGCATTCAGGAAGTAGAGGAACCGCAAAAGTGTTTTCTTTTGTTTTTATCAGCCTAGGTTTAAAAAAAATCTAGGTATATTGTCTTAGAATGGGTTCTGACAGCGCCTACGGCATACAACTATCTTCGCGACTGAGCCAGATTTCTGGGTTTTAATCCGGGACTCATGTGTTTATATTTACTGACATATAATTTCTTAAATTATACTGTAACAATGCGAGCCGTCTTTCAATTGTATTGTGGCCGGATTGTGCTTAATTGGCTTTGAATTCAATGTTCAAAACCCAATTTTAAAGAAACATATATTTTAAAATAAATAAGTGTCCATTTTACCTCGGGAGTGAGAGCTCGCGATTGGTTAGTGATTGGCATAGTCACAGTTGTATTGTACGGGACGCGTTTCACGGAGCACTTAATGTCCCCGATAATTCACAAGGCACCCCTGCCCATGTGCACTATAACTGGATTAGGCAAGATGAGCCCGATCGCTGCTGGAGACACTGGCACTGACGCTGCGCAACAAAGGCCGTCTCGTAGAATACCCTCTGTTTTTCATTTAGATTAATTTTGACTTTAGCATGCTTGGATGAAAACTTAAAATTAAAAACATATCAGCATAGTAATTAGCCTAAAAACGTAGAAAATGTAAACTTAATTGTCTGATATACTCTTATCAAAATATAGTCATTTAGAAAATCAATGGAAAATGTCTCAGTGTGTATTAATGCGCGTAAACGGCAAAGGGATCACTGTCTGCCGGATGCTGCTGTGGATGACAGCTCCAGTAATGGCGTTCAATAATGAAGTGCTGAGAGTTTATACAGCCTTTCGACATTTACCTGAACTACTCGCAAAGAGCCAATGACACCAGCGACGACCTGAGAGAAACCACGGCGAGAGGCCTTTAATGTCACCTTACTGATAAAAACCCTGCAGGAAGAGGCAGTGTAAGTACAACCACACACCTCTATTAACACAGAAAAAAGGGGGTATCCCACAGTCAACGACGGGCTCAATTAACATTTGACATTATTGTACATGTGAAAAGACACTTCAAATGTTTTCTTTCTGCCTCGGCCGGAGAACAATGAAGGGACGCAGGAGGGAAAATACGCAGGGGAAACGGGGGTCCTTTCACGTGCTAAGAAGTAGATTATTCTAGCTCATTGAGCACTTAAAATAAACTTTACAAAGCGCATCCCATATAAGCAGCCTGGAACTGCAAATGAGTATGCAAATGAGGTTCATATTTGATTTCAGGCCATTTATTGTTTGTTTATTTTACCTTACCGATTATCTCGACCTTGTGTGGGTCTATTTCATATGAAAAAATGCAGTAAACGAGTTAACTAATATCCAATAGACGAATGACGGCTCATCTCGCGCGCACTCTTTTTTAGTGCCCGGTTTATGACAGTTTGCCTCCCGCCGGGTTCCTGTGATGGCTTTGCCTCATCGCATCCTTGGCTTATTTTAAAGCGCCCGATATAGAAGTTTCACTCAGAAACTTGGTGACCAGAAAAAGCAGGAGCTAAAGTGGAGCCCAATTCATGAAAATGAACAAAGGACAGGTTTAATGCACTCCATCGATTGATGTTGGGTCGATATAATCCTCGCCTCACTTTGTGTTTCTGAAATGTATCCAAGCATTTTTTCCAGAAAACATTCCTCATATATATATATATATATATATATATATATATATATATATATGTGTGTGTGTGTGTGTGTGTGTGTGTGTGTGTGTGTGTGTGTGTGTACGCGCATACATTCATTCACCTTAAAACGAGCGAAATGAACATACTGTGGCAGAATGTATATGGGGGTATAGTTAAGAGATAAAGTGTGACTACATCATTTTAAAAGATTACTTTGCTGTATTTCCAGATGATTATATTCTTTGAGAACAGCCGCTGTGTGAATTTTAGGATTATTCATCTAAAGCAGTTTTAAAAAATAAATTTGAATAAAAAATATTTGTTTTGTTATATGGACGACGGATTCACCAGGACAGGGTAGGAAAGAACCGAAAAAATAGACGCCGCTCAGTTATCTTGAAAGTGACATTGGATCTCCGTGTCAAATCCATTAGTAGGGTTGAAATTCACAAATTCACAAGTAATTGCATCATAAATAAAAAATGGAAATATACGCATAGAGAAATAAAAGCGACTTATCTAGTTTAAGTATAACGAATTGCTGCTATGATTCTGCGCTCTTTAGTTCTCATTTAAAACGCCGGTGAAGTTCGGATCTTCGCCCTAACTCACTTTTACGCCTTGACACTCACCTTCTTCTATGCCTACTGCGTGTCATCAACATATTTTAATTATATAATGGTCGTTTGAACTCATAGGTAAATTCTTACCCAGCCTATAGTAAATCCTTGGATCATTAAGAATTCGTTTATTGATGTTTCCCCACCGTGACGACGGTTTATCTAAAAACAAACTTGCATTCACCCATTTGATATGTTGATATATTTGTGTATATGTAAGTACAGTGTGCTCGAAGCATGAATCGATTGTAAAAAGTTTAGAGTGACTTCTGCACCGCGCACTGAAGCAAGACAATTTATCAGCGTTTAGAAGGACAATCGAAGCAAGGAAATTGAGATTTGAACTGGTCTCGAAAGTATTTAGCTAATTTTAGACTCATTTTATTAGAAAGATTTATGCGGTTATTCCTGTTTGATGAGATAATTTTAAAAGGCATTTATATTTTAGCGTGCTGGTTAGGTGGTCTTCAGATTATATTGGATAAAACTTTATAAAACGCCACAAATAAACTCTAAATTTCTGTCCACTTTATTATAATGGAAGCGATTAGGAGTATATCAATAGAAGCTGCGTTCCTCACTTTCAAAAATAAGCATTAGGATAATGTATCGGGTGTTTGATTCTCTCATATAACCTTTATTAGATAGTGATCGGATCTGTGGATACAAAGTATATATGATTGTCAATTTTATGCGCCGCCATTCCTTACACCATTCAGTATGTTTTCGCCTTAAAATCTATGCGACATAATGAATGAATAAAATAAATGTTTTCGCACTTCCACTGTCGAATTATCATTCATGAAATTCCATTCAAAGTTCCTCTCCTCATCGATTATGTCATTTTCAGCGGAGTACGATTTCGTACATGAACGACCAACAAATACACCATTTCTTACTTTTGCGATCATACCGAATATACGCCACAACATCCTATGTTTTTCTTTGCTAAATAATTTAATTAATTATCTAATATACTGGAAGAATTTGCTTCATTCATTTAAATTTATCTCGGCATCACAAAGCCTGCTTGTAATAAGCGCATTAGTCGCATTCAAGTAGGCCTAATTATAAACGTTTCATTTGTTACCATCAGTGATAAGTTAATATTAGAATGGCAGGTGAATTCAATGTCATTTAAATTATATAATTATGCATAATTACGAATAAGAACATAATCCTGTACGAGGCATCTAGGTTCTCTTTGAAGAGCTAAAACAAAGCGGAGGGTGAACAATTATTGAAGAGGTAGTTTAATGCAGACGGAGTGTTTCTGACTGCGTCTGTAAGTTATTTGTTACACTGGTACTGGAGGCTCCTCTGATTATCAGAGGGGCTTGGATCGCTGGCCCCGGAGTGAACCCCAGCGCCGTGTCCCCGGGCCTCGCTGCTGCGCCCTCAGGTGAATTTCTCAGCTGCGCGCCCCTCAGTGGGGGCACTCGCAATCGTCAGGCGGTTACAGATTAACTAATCACACTGAGCATGATGACTGGACCGCCGTTATTTTAAAAAGGAAGAGATTAAGAGATGTAAAGGCATTTTGTTGGGGGGGGGGGGATTGTTTTACCTCAGGGCAGCTTGTGCCTTCGGTACCTGGGATGCTGAAGACAAACGCTATTACACACAGACACGTTCAAGAACTTCCACTGCCCGTTCTTTAGGGACACTGGAAGGTCCTCCATCGTAATTTCCCTTCATCATCCCTTGTTACCCCGCCGCATGTACATCCACCTTATTTCTTTACGCCATCATGCCGCCTTGAGTTCTAACATCACAGGACTGTCTGTCGGACCCAGGATGGATTGGTTCTGACACTGAAATTTTATTCTACGTGGCGCCCCCACCTCCCTCCTACCAGCACCACGAGGCCAACCACATCGCAGAAGTCTCCCGGCCAAAAAAACACTGAGATCCCACACAAAGAGGACAGCCAGGGCCTCTTGGACAGCCCTGGTGCGGTGGGTAAGAATCTCAAGTTTCTGTCCAGAAGGCAGTATGCTTGAACCCAAACTGTAAACAGCACAGGGAATAATAAGCTATTCAGTCGCGAGTTTCTGCATGGGAGGGTCAGTGGAGTTATCATAGACCCAGCGCCAGGCTGAAGCCTTTTCTTATGAGATCATAGTCGTTGTGGCATTTCCTCGTATAGTGAGGACATGCTATCATTCTGTGTGGGCACCTTCATCCAAAACAGCAGAGATCTTTCTGCTCGTATACACAGCTGGACACTTTACCAGAGCCATTCAGGTTAAGTATCCCGGTGAGGAGCAGCAAAGCGGAGCGCCTCCTGGGATTTGTAGGGGCGAAGTGTCATAAATGGTCAGATTACACAGCCCTTTCTCAGAGCTCTCCCTGCTACCTGCACTCCTGATAATTACCGTGTTGAAAATAAGGCTCTTGGTTGCCAGAGCTGACAACACGGCCAGCAGAGAAACTCCGAACAACGACGGGATGGGACATCAAGCTGCTGGGAGACAGGCTCTGCACTGAGGAAACGGTCCCTTTTGCTGGCTGATGAAAACTTCCCGTTCTTAACGTCTATGGCGTTCAATTGAACGTGTTTTCCTTTTCATTCTTTTTCGATCTCCGGATTTTCCAAATTACACGCACAAGGTCACATGACTGGTTTTGAATAAATGAAACCTCAGCCGTGGTTTGAATGTAGAGTATGTTCTCTCACGGAGCCATAGATTGCATTAACGTGAAAATATATCAATACAGAAGTTAATTAAAATGTTACCACGAAGACATTAACGAAATGTAGGCAGAATTAAAGGGATACCAAACTAATTCTTGGAATATGTCTTAGTAGCAAGCTTTCACTGAGTAGCTTTTTTTACTAAGCGGGAAGACTAAATCTATTTGAAATTAATATCAGTGGCTTACTTTTCCTAAGGAATTGTCTGGCGAAGTTCAGCGGAACTGGTGTTGCAAAAATCGATATATTTACTTTCCGCTAGAGGGCGTATGTAGCATTGCGGAACGTTCTTTCTGTAATAAAGGGGGTACGTATACACACTGAGTTGTTAGAGGTGCTCATCGCTTTTATTTGCTTGTTTAATTTGTTTGCCCCAATAATAAAAACGGTATTGCGTAAAACTACACATATATGTAAGTGGGAAAAAGAAAATACGATAATAATAATTTTTTATTTTTGAAATGTATTTATGCATGTAAACGTCACATACTTCACAGTGGAATAAACAATTGCACGTTATACCCTTAACACAATTATATATGCACATATATGTCATAAATCATTTGAAACCCACCAGTACAAAGATTCAGTTAAAATTCCTTCATAGTAAATACGAACCACGTGGAAAATGAAAAGCGGCTTCATTTAAAGATTTTCAAGGAAGTTCGAAACGAGACAAAAACTTGGGCGACCATGCGTGTGTGCTTTTAGTAGTACAAGACCCATAAAGTTCGATTATTTCTTTTGTCTGAATAAATAAAGGAAAAGATGAACGTCTCATTTTCTTCTCACTGCGAGCACAGTCACCCATTTGTTCCCATATAATTTATAAACATACATATATCGATATGCACCCCGCCACCACCACGACCATTCCAGGCTACCACCACACGGACACACGCTATAAAGTCACACACGCCATCTCCTATGGCTTAGTAACGATATTATCGTCTCCGGCATTACTATATAATACACGTGTCACGATATATTGTATAATAATGTCCGACATAAACCTCAAAGTAGTAGAAAAGGCTCTAAGGTGCCAACCAGGGTTCTCTGTCCTGCCCGGAATTTAAAATGAAGAACATAAAATTGACTTTCTATTATGCATGTAGCCTATACAAAGCAAGCGAGCTCGGTGTGTTTATACATTGGTTGCGAAACTGACACGCAGACCCCGTTCGCTGTCACAGAGGGCCTGTGCATCTGCATATCAGACCTCCAATGTTCATAGTTATGTTCTTCGTTAAGCAGCTGCCCCACCTCCTTTCAGCTCAGACTGCGTCTGTGCTACGGTTTTATTATATACATATGTTAAATATGAAACGTTTTTCTTACAACAGTACAAAGGAAAATACATACTGTCATGTTGTTTTAGATTATTTAACATGAGGCAGACTATGATCCAGGCAGACACATAATACAGCAGAGTGACTGAGCATGACTGAAACGCATATAAAACACCGGCTAAACCTAACCTAAAAATACTCAGCCAAAGCTTTTCCGGCCTTACGAGGTATTTTATAATGAACGTTTCAAGGCCTTTCTGAACACTGTGGTCATGTGGACGATCACAGGTGGCCCTCAGGCGTTTCTCCTGCTGGAGCCGGCGGAGGAGCGGCCGGTCTCGTGCTCCGGTCTGTACTTCAACCAACAAATCAGCCACGTGACAACTACGGACACCATGGCCAGGATGCTGGCCACCGACAGGCAGATGGGACCCGCCGGCGAGGGCGGACTGTTGTGGTTATGTATGAAGATGAGCCCCATGAAGAGCAGAACGAGCATGGACAGGAAGGAGAAAATGACGCACACGCAGCCCGTCGTCAGCGCCACCCGCTTGCAGTTCTGGCAGCTGTCGTAGTGCACCGAGTCCTGTGAGATGGTGGTGGCGGTGGACACGGTGCTGGACGGTACCGCTTGGCTTGGGCCCCCCCCCGCCGCCTCCTCACGCCGAAGGGTAGCGAGTGCGGGATGCAACGGCGGGGGCTGCGGGGGCAAGCTGTCCTGAGGCAAAGGGTCCGAGTCGATGCAAAGCGGCAAAGCTTCTGTCACTTTCGTGTTGTTGGGCAGGTTCTGTATCCGGTAGTCCGGTACCGGTGTCCTGTGGCGACACACCGGACAGCTGATCCGCCATGGTCTGTCCTCCCGAAGGTGCAGGGTGTGCAAGCACTCCTCGCAAAACGTGTGCAGGCATTCAAGGATCTTCGGGGCTCGCCGATCAAGGTCGAAGTAATTGTAGCAGATTTTGCACTCGTACTCCTCGAAGGGGAAGAGCAGGGCGCCCGGCGCCTCGGCTGCGTTCGCTGGCAAGCTCGCCTCTGCCATGTCATCTTTCACCGTTCACATGCTCCACATGAAAGGCGGCGCCGCCTGGCAATGACCGTCTACAATCCGTCCGCCGATGCGCCACCACCCATATTATTCCATTGTTGTTCTCCGTAAATCTCTCTGATATCTAGCCACAAATGTGCGATCGACCGTTTCCCTCACCGATCCAGCGTTTCGATTGTAGCCGTGAAAGGTTAAACGGGACCCCGTTTTTAAAAATAATAAATAAATAAAAAATAAAAGCGGTGATGTAATGCCGGTGATTCAAACGCCACGGCTCCGTCCGCCTGTCGGTGCGAGCAAGAGCTGCGCTCCAGTCCGCTGTTGCTCCGCTTCCCCCCCCCCGGGAAAAACCGCTTTACAGTCTGCCTGGGAGATTTAGCCAATGATAAGCGATAAGAGCTTTAAATCACACGGCCACCGAAATACATGGCAAGGCGAAGGCTGGCATTAATTGCATTATGGTTGCAGTATCGGGTCAGGCTGGGGTCTCCACGGAAACAACACCGTTTCAAAGATTGTTCTTCCTTCAGCTAAACTGGTTATTATTACTAGAAGTCGGTCTGATAAAACCATAGTCTACGCTTAGCGGCCTTATGAGGTATTTTATAATGAAACAGAGTTCGCAAACATAATATATTTGCAACAAATGTTTTACAAAATGTAAATATTTGTATTGTTCGTAAATAAAATTCTGTGTCTCCTTTCTGCCTGTTTTGATTGTGTTACATGGGGTTAGCACAGGATGTTAATCAGCAGGCCCATGAGAAAGGCAAAGAGATAAACAAAAAAATCGCCTTGGTTTGGTATATAATAATAATAAAAAAACCATCCGTGATATTATCATTGGGTTTCACTACAGATAATCTAAATAAAGGCGCGAAGTGTTCCGAAAGGTGCGTAATGTATAGATCAAAGATTAACATCCAGAGGGGTCCAGTGGCCTGTACTACGAAGCGGGGTTACTGGTTTATCGGGGTAACTTGTTGGATTTAATGTTGTCTGGGCAAAATGTAAGTGAACGAATATGAAGTCCATTTAAACTGTGGTACCTTAAATCCGACAAGTTACCCCAATAAGCCAGTGACCCCGCTTCGGAGTAGGTTACAGGCCACTGGTCATGTCGACATAATTCTACAAAATACCTGCTGCTCAAGTGCAAAAAAATATATATTCAATTTATATTCAGCCTAATAAATGTTTTTCTTGACGTCGTATAGGTAAATTGGGGCCATTTTGACTGCCTTATGTGAATGTTACTGGTCACTGCAATTACTGTTAAACAATTAAGCCTACGCTCAGTTTCGACCAAGGGAGTCGCTGGGATGTTCCCTGCAGGGATCAGATTTCATCGTGAGACTTTGCTGGAAATCATATCTATTTTAAGTCAGTTAAAACGTACGACCCTTACCGTTGTTCTAACTTGCGGAACAACTGAATCAGTATAACAATAAACTGCCATTGGATTTAATGGCTGCAGTTATGTCTTTAATCGAATCCAAGCCAAAGTCCAAAGTAAATGCGGATTTATTGCAGGAACCTGTATTAACAAACCTGCTCGTCGGGCTTTACGACACCTCGGCGGTCTGCGCGCGCACACCTGTCCCGGAGCACACCTGTGCACGCGCATCCGCACCTGTGAACGTGCGCAGTACGAGAAATGAGGAGTGTGAAATGCGGCAGGACTCCTCCCCGAGTCAGGCAATTCAATACTGCTATGCTCAAATTTATTAACTATCTACACGGCTCCGAGCTGGTTGCTTCCTTTCAAAAACTATGTGGACTGTGCGCTGTGGAGGACGAGGATCCGACGTGTCAAAGGCCACTTGTGACCCGAGAATACCCGGTGTCAGAGCCGGGCAGCAAGGATACGTCGATCCGAAAGCGCTGTGAAAATGGGCAACTAAATGGAGAATTGACGAAATCAGGGCGGCATGACAACAATTCAAATTATAAATACAAAACAAGTGAATACAATGGCGTTGTAAGTATGACTGTTCATTTTACAAATGTGTAAAGTTCCGTGAAAAAGTCTAAGGTGTATTGTGTTGGTGGGGGGAAGATGAGTTTGAATTAGGAAATAACTTGAGACTCAGCGAAGTATTTTCCAGCTGGCTTTTCTTGTTTCGCCAGTTGTTGTAGGTGTAGTTGTGAAGAAGACAGAGATGCCATGTCAGGCTGCTAATCTACCATCTGAGATTCCTGCTGAGTGTCTGAGTTTGAACCATTATAAACATGCCACTCATGTGTTGTCCTTTCAGAACATCACAAAAACAAGGTCTAAATAGGGGCAGACAGGTAAAGGCAGCATTACAGAAACCTAACATTTCTGCGTTTTGATGCACTGCTATTTCCACTTTTATTTAATGTGCCTAATATGTGGAATCCATCCCTAATGATGAAGCGAGCTGTTGTTATTAGGGTCCTGTGAGAATCTGCAGGATGCTATGACATCATCACTCACTGACCGGTGGTGGTGTCTTCTGGGGAGGTCTTCTGAGAGGTTTCTCACAGGGACACCTGTTCCATGAAGCTTGCAGTTCCCTTCCGAGATTCTGCCTTATTTCATTCTCAGCACGCTGCAGTGACCAGACGACCCCAGTGCAGTTACGTGCCACTGACTTGGTTCTGTTCAGCTGAGCATAGTTACGGAAATGGGTGTGTGTGGTTAGTTTACTCGAGATCACAGCTGACCCCTGGCTCTACACTGCCCCCTTCAGGCCTCGCGGGACCCGCTGCCTCAGTACCAGGTGGGAAGCTGCCTGCTGCACTGCCTTTTCCTGCTGTCTGCTGAGCTGGGCCATGAGCTCTTCTACATTTCCTTTCTCCCCTGCATTCACTGGAATCTGGACCCCTTTCTGTGCCGGCGGATGGTCACTATGTGGGCGGTAAGTTTCACTCCCCAACCTCAGTACTGTTAACCCTTAAATTAACTTGCTAACTTAATTGTGGTCTCTTCCCCATGGTATTGTTCTGGAACAGAGCAATCTCAAACATGACTCCTCCCCCCTAAAAGGACCTAAACACAAAACATGTAGGCTTACGTTCTTTGGAAGTATCTGGCAATTGAAGTGTCTGAGAGTCTTGATGCCAGTGACTCCTTTGTCCAGAGGAGGCGACGTTGAGTTTGCTACCCTTGAATGACCAGCGGAGGATGATGACCGACTTCCTCCTCTTCCATGCTTCAGTCACCCCCAGGGGCAAATTACAGGCTCTGTCAGGGTTCCCTGTCTTATTTTATTTATCTCTAAAAATTGCCCATCCCACAGTACAGCAACAAGGGCCCGAGTCATCATGTCACATGAATGGAGCTTGGGCTGTGGATAAAACGGCCCTTTAGTGGAGTCACATGTGACAGGAAGGAGTGTCAGTCATATGAACCATCCTTTTGTTTTTCAGACCAGGCAGATGTGTCTCTCTTAAGGAGTTGGGGGGGGTGATGGGTAGTGTGGCTGTGTGACATCACCGGGACCCCCGCTTGTGGACGAGCCACACACCTTAATTTAAAGGCTACTAGATTCCATGATCCCCAGTGCTGAGGGGGATCCTGCTTAATGAGGTGCTAATTAGAACGTCCCTGTGTGACTTGGGGGGCCCCCCCTCCCTCCTCCTGAGGTGTCCCAAGTTCACGGCCTGGTGCAGCGTGGCTGACAGGAGGCGCGTGGGACTCGCGGGCCTGCAGTGGACCTTCCGTGGTGCCGTCCGCCTGTACATAGGCAAATGGCCTGGCTTTTGTGGATTTGTAAAGTTTCTTAAAATGAGGATGACTGTGCTTGTTGTGCGACTGCGCTGCTCTCCATGCGGTGGTGCCCCGCAGAAACAGCCTGTGCTCTTCAGCGAGGAGTCAGGGACCAGCGCTGGGACAATGTTGTCCCTTGTTTACTGTCACAATGGATGCCAGTGTTTACCAGCGGTGCAGGCCGAGGTGAGAGTGCCGGCTATCTGTGCTCACTGCCTGCGGCCTGGATCTCTGGGCTGGGGGACCTTGCAGTTCAGCCTCTGTTTGTTTCTGCTCCCCTAAACAGTGGGACACATGCAGTGTCTGTGTGACCCCACCCCCCTAACTATGGGTACCTTGCATTTAAAGAGGCTCACCCAGGGGCAGGGGGGTCTTGTCATGACCCAGTGGGGGGGCAGTGAACAGAAAAGTGGAGCCTTGCTGTGTCATGTGACACACATGCAGTCATTGGGTGGGAATAAAAACATTCAATTGGTATCTTTAAAAAGGATGACTTGTGTTCCGTGAATAGAAAAATGTGTGTGTGTGTGTGAATACATTACTGTGCAAAAGTCTTAGGCAAAGAAAATGTGAAAAGCTATTTAACTGATTTATCTGAGTAGTAGAGTAGTAAACGTATGTTATCTAAAAAATAGCACAATTTAACATTGGAATATGTGCAAATGAACAATAACAAGAAATTCTTCTTTTCTTCAGAAAGTTATTGGTATTCTGCTGGATGACTAGATGAGCACAGCTTCAGTTCCCAGACCTCTCCTCAGGGACATTCCATGTATTTCCATACTAAATTTTACCACCTACTCAATTAGTTAACCTAGTTAAATAATTTGAAGTACTGATTAGCCAAACATGATACGCTATTGGTCAGCAAATGTAAACAAGAACATGGGTACGCTGTATGGATAATGCAGTTACTAGAATGACTTTAGCCGAGGTTTTGAAATGAGTAATTTAACACTTGCCAGACATAATATCATAGTTTTACAGCAATGTGAAAATGACTAAAACATAATTTGTTTGACTGCCTAAGACTTTTCCACAGTAGTTTATGTGTGCATGTATGTATATGTATATCAGAAATGTGCATCTCCATCACAGAGGCCGATGTGATACACATCTTCATGCATTGCCAATGATCCGAAAAGTGAAAGATGCATACAAAGTAACTACTAATGCAATGTGATATGATTCCTCCCTATTGCAAAAGAATATGATGCTATGCAATTCACTATGGTGCAAATTGTTTGATTTGATTTCTTTGGTTCTTCTTAAGCACACAGCGAATCAATTAATCTTACCATCCATAGTATGTGTGTGTATGTGTTATTTGAGTGTATGCACGTGTGTGTGTGTACAGTCTTACATCGAGTTATGTCTGATTGAGATACCTCCGATGGCATTTACACCGAGGTCTGTAGTAAATAAGGTAAACTGATGGAGAGACGCCCGACAGCGGATGCAATAGGTGTATCGCTTAGTGTAACAGGTGCAGAGAATGATTCAACGCCCAAATCAAACTTGCAATACAGTATGGATACAGTAATGTACATGTGATGGATAACTGCAATATCGTGATATGCCCAAACTGACTTGCGGTGGACGCAGTCTTAAATGTATCTGCAAGACTATATGTGTATGTGTATAGGTGTGTGTTGTCGCTGCATTCCTGTAAAATATAAATAAATCGAAAATTTTGTCTCAGACAAAATACTTTTTGTAATACTGCGTATTATCATTCATATTATTAAAAGTAACACAATAAAATAAATAAAGTGCTCTCTCAGAAACGTTATCAAGTATCAGATTCTCAGGCAATAAGGGACGCAGAAGGTGGGGCAAACAAACAGGGTTTTATTCAGCTAATAGACTAAAACAGAAAGGAACAGGATCACTGCAGAGTTGCCAACTTTGGTCAGCTGGCCGGCCTGAGATTTTCAGTTCGAGACAAGTCTGCACACACATGCACACATATTTACATGTATGTAAGAGTTTTATTACCTTGTAAATAGTCTGTAGGGTTTGCAAACTACCCCAACACTTTTGATGTAGCTAATTTTAGGTTTATAATGGAACAATATAGATTTGCCGTAAGATCTCTTGCGCAAGCATGAGAGTCAGAAAGTGTGAGTGTCACACCAGATGCGTGAGAGTTGGCAGCCCTGGATCATGGGGAATCAAAATCTGGGGCACGGAACCCTATGAACGGGATGGGCCACAAGCAGGATCAACGTTAATGCCAGGACTAGGGAGTACTTTCATACAACGACTAAAAAGGGAGCAAAACGAGAGGCAGCTGGAGTAAATCACAAAAGGGCAGGAACAAGAGGTACGACAAATGTGTAACATAATCAGAATCACCTTGGCCGATGTAGCGGACCGGGGTGGAGCAGGATTAAGGCTGAAGCGATGATTTCCTGATGGTTCCCAAGCTAGTTTTATCCAATTACAAGCGTGCATACAAGTTTTTAAAATTGCACCACTGTATTCATACTCTTTATTTGTTGGCGTACCATGTCGTGTGTAATGAAGATCTGCAAAGAGCTTCACATCGCTCATTGTCTAGTTGTCTGTTTGTAACATCTTGTTTATTTTTCATCAACAATGATTTTAGAAGTATTTGTCATTCTTTTCATCGTTAAAAGGCGCCTTTTCATTTTGTTTTTGTTCCTTTTTCATCACAGAAAAAATATCATTGAGTATTTTTCATTTTAATTTGTGCATTCCTGCCCCTCCTCCCCAGTTTGCCCAGGGCTGTCCAGAGGCCTCCAAGAGCCATCCAGGGTTCAGGGGCCTGAGTTAGCCGGGGGCTGGGGATTCACAGGCCCGTCACTGTTACCCCCGGTGACGGGGAGCGTCCCCTGTAAACATGTGAAACAGTGGCAGCCTGTTGTTCTGGAAATGGGCAGCTGTTTAACACCAATGCAGGGAGCTATATAACTGCGTGTCTGTGCCCCCACCCCCTCCGAAAGAAAATGTGTGACTTGGGATTTATTGCGCAGTAACTTGGCAAACAATGACATGTAGTCATGTGACCCGGGCAGCTGACCTTTCTCGCTTTGCACGGGATACCCCAGGGGGGGCCGGCCGGGCCCCTGTACCGCGTCTTACCGCGGGGTCCGGCCAGAGGGCCTGTGGCGGGTCACTCTGCCCGCTGCACTTTCCCGTCTGTTCTCTGGGTCTCTGGCCAATTTCCAGTCAGGCCAGCTGGGGGCGATAAGCAAAGCCAGTGAGGTGTGACACGTGACTCTGTGAAAATGTTCCGGAAACATTGTGTTTCTCTTGACGGCGCACCATTCTCTGGCTGCGTTTTGGTTCGTTGCCAGCGCTCGCCTCAGAAAGTCTGTCCATCTCACCCTCCCTCCCACCCTCCCTTTCCTTTTTTCGTCTATCTTCCTCCTCCTTTCCCTCTTTCTACCTCTCCCTCTCCCTCCTCTTTTCTCTCTCTCTCTACCTCTCCCTCACGTTCCCTTTTTTCTCTCCCTCCCTCTCTCTCTACCTCTCCCTCACTCTCCCTTTTTCTCTCCCTTTCTCTCTCACTCTCCCTTTTTTCTCCCTCCCTCCCCCCCCCCCCCCCCCCTCTTTTTGACATGCTTGTCAGTCTTGCCCGTGTTACACCATGATTCAAGAATAGACTTGCACACTAGTCATAATATAACTGGTTTCTTTTTTAACACCTGCCAAATTAAACGTATCCCTCCTCGTCCCAGTGGTTCAGGGCGTCTGCCGCTGCTCGCCTGCTGGTGATCAGGGTATCCGGGCCACTTCCTGTCCCTGTTCTCTCTTGTACCATAAATTAAACACGACAGACGGTGGCCCGTCAGACTGAGGCCGGGAAGCGATTCCCACTGAGCCGCAGACAGACATGCATCTCTTACTCATCACTTGCCGCCTGCAAGCTTGGTCCCTCCATCCCTGCTCTCTCTCTTCCTGTTTTTCTTAATGACAAAGTTTTCTGAACATTAATTGAGAATAAAGGGAGGCCTGGTATTTATTACCGAAGGAAATCTTTCATTGTGTAGATTTGTCTTTAATTAAGGAAGATAAATCATGTGCTGGGAGGTAAGTGGTTAGTGTCATGCCTACTTTCTCCTCTTCCTTCCTCATCCTCACCCCCACCCTTCCCGTTAGATTGTCATGTACATTGGTCAAGTAATGAAGGACAAGCTGAAGATGCCACGCCCTCTGTCGCCCCCGGTGGTGAAGCTGGAGACACGTGTGAACGCCGAGTACGGCATGCCCTCCACCCACGCCATGGCCGCCACCTCCATTTCCTTCACCTTTCTGCTGAGCGCCTCCACTAGGCTGCAGGTGAGTGCGACACCAGTTACAAGGCTCAGGGTCCTTCACATGGTTATGTGAGCAGTGGTGGGCAGATGGATTTTTGGCCTTTACCCGACCTGTCTAACCGCCTCTGTGCCCTATCTTTGCCCGGCTTGTCTCACTGCCTCTGTGCCCTATCTTTGCCCGGCTTGTCTCACCGCCTCTGTGCCCTATCTTTGCCCGGCTTGTCTCACCGCCTCTGTGCCCTATCTTTGCCCGGCTTGTCTCACCGCCTCTGTGCCCTATTCCTACACCCCTAT